ATTCCTAGCCTCAAATGATCTTCCCCCTCTTGGCCTCCTAAAGTGTTGGGATTACAGCCATGAGCTTCCATGCCTGTCCTGTCTTTTAATTTTTCATTTATATGTTCTTTTAAAGTATTTCCCCCCTTCAGGAGAAAATAAAAGTTTATTACTTCTTCTCTGGGACTTCATTTTTCTACTTTTTTTTTTCCAGAATATTGTGGGGATACATAATGTTTTGGTCACATAATTTGCTTTTATATATTTAAAGTCAGAGTTATAGGTGTGTCTTTCCTCTAGAGTGTGCAGTGAACCTGTTGGTTGGGGATCTCCCCATTCCCTCCCCCCCCCATACTTGCATTTCAGTGAGATTTGCTTACATATGAGCATTTGGGTGCTGATGAACCAGCTCCAGTTTAGTGTGGAGTGCATGTGATCTTTGTTTTTCCATTCTTGGCTGTTAAATGTGTATTTTTGATTGGTTATATTTTCATATGGATATAACAATTTATTTGTTCTATTTCCCAGTCATTGAAACTTATTGATTGTTCTGATATTTTACTGTTATAAATACTATTTAAAGAATGAATTTTCATCCTGTGAATCTATTATCAACTTATTTAAACCTTTTTTTCAACTTAAACTTTTGATATTCCTCATGATTAAAGTTCAGTTTTTTAGCTATTTGCATTTTATATTTGTAAATTCTAGTACATTTTCTTTGCCCAGTTTTACAGCAGGATCATCTTTTTTTAATGTTTATAAATTGGGGTTATGTGTTGAACATACTAACCTTTTGGTTTTCATCAGTGAGTAATTTAAAGTTAAACCAGTATGCTATATATATTTAGTTGTCAGTCAGAAAATTACTCAGTTTTTCTTAATTGTATACCTGAGAGCTTAAGTATAATATATTATTTGCTACGAGTTCTTTTGAAGACTTACATATTTTAATAACATAAAATGTAACTTAGAACTATGCCCTAAGGGACCGTGCTTTCTAAACTTAAATAATCTTAGAAATTACTACATAATTACCTTGAAATGTAGTGAGACCTGAGATTCTACATTTCAAGCGAGCTGTCAGACAATGGACATGCTCTGGTCAGTGGACCATAATTTGAGTAACAGATTATAGAGGGCAATGTCAGAAGTCACTTAAAGGTCATTGTAGCATTTAGCCTTTATACAGCTATATTTGAATAACTGAAGATGTTTTTATGTTCTTTTGATGAGTAGGGAGAAGGCAACAATATCTACTTTTGTAAATGAGAAGAGTATTTAAAAAATAGATACTTTCTTTCCTGCTCATTTATTTGTAATTTATTATCTAGAACATGGAGATATACTTGGTAGCTGTCCAGAAGATGAGGCTTTCACTCCAAGTGATGAGTCCATGGATGGGATATTGGATGAGTCTTTACTGGAAACCTGTCCTATTCAGTCACCATTACAAGTTTTTGCAGGAATGGGTGGACTGGCTCTTATTGCAGAAAGACTACCCATGCTATATCCAGAAGTAATTCAGCAGGTAAGAAAGTATTTTCTAATTTACTGTGTCATTCAAGAAAGCCCTCCTGTGCTCTGGGTTTTTCTTGACTTTCTGCCTACACTTACAAGCCATCTTCCCTGTGTGAATCTGTGTCTGCATCTTTCTTCTTTGACTTAGGGCTCCCCACGCCAATATTTCTTCATCTTGCCTTGGTTTTATCTCCAAAGACACTATTTCTAATACACTCACAGGTATTAGGGATTAGGACTTGAACATATCTTTTAGTGGGCAATTCAGCCCATAATAATACCTATTTAGGAAGGGGTTATTGCTTGCCTACTGTTCAAAAGATTTACTATATTTTGATTTACTATTATTCTTATTTTTCTCTGTTAAGGAAAAATGTTTAGCAGAGAAAAATAAGAATAATAGTAAATCAGAGGTAATGACATAGTCAAAAGTGTGAAGCAGAAAAGATACCAACATTCTCAAGATCATCATTGCTCAGTGAAAATGATTTTTCTAATTCAGTATTCATTATGGTTTACTATCTTGATTGGTGTACCTGGAAGTGGGGTGCCGCTATAATACATACGTGAAA